AGTAAACATCTGTAATAATTGTATAAACATTAAACAAAATAAAAAAAATACACAAAGTGATTACAATTTATAAGGTCTGATTTTGAGTGATTTTAAAATACAATCTTACAATGCAATAGAATAATAAGTGTTATGTGTAATAAGACTTACTTATTAAATCTAAAATTTCTAAAAATATATAAAAATTACAATTAAATTTTGGCTGACAATATTTCTATCAGAATGTACATAAATAAAATAAATCAAAGCTACAAAATTGTCTTTGTGTTCCATTTAATGACAAAACAAAGATAATTTTGAGGCTTCGATATATATTTTGATTTAAAACTTAAAATTAACTCATTTGATATGGTGTGCAAAGTTTAAAGAACTGCTTATGAACTTCATCTTTACATATAGTATCAAAAAATCAAAATTGATGAAAACCACTTGTGCATTTTTTACATTTCTACTATACACACCCCATACATTAAGTCAACATTTAACGATAATAGTTTTAATATTCTTATTATCAACAATGCATCTTTATTTAAATTGTGAAAGAAAAACTGCAAGAACTACTTGTCTTTATGTACAAAATACCCTTATCACATGCATTAACCCCTTGTGTTTCTCAAACTTCACCTTCGGTTAGACCTGTTTAATAAATTTTAATGTACCATTTATCTAATTTGCCGTCAATATATTTGCCTAGATCCACAGGAATCCATGGACCACACACCGTTGAGAAACCTGCTATCCGAATTATCTCGACCACCCGGACATCAAAATTTCTACTATTCGGTACTACATACCGTGCAAAAATTTTCAGTGCTTTCGGACGAAGCTTTCGATGATGTCAAATAAAGAAAGCAGTTAAGTATCTCGGAACAGATAGATTTATGGGAGAAGGCAATGCAACACCTGGAAATCTTGCAAGATGGAATGCATCCCAGAAACACTTTCTACAGGAAACTAACTCTATTTAGGCATTAGATTTGTGAAAAAAAATCTGAAAAACTTTATGTGGCCAGCCCATTGGTGAGATGCAAACCTGCAACCAACTACCAGTGTTTTATCCACTAAGACAATGATGGGCCAAGCACATAAGGAAGCCAGTATTAATTACCATTGTCCAGATCCAACTTGTGTTATTTTAAAATTTAAAGTAATTTCACAAAGAATTATAGTGTTTTAATGAAATTATTTAAATTATAAGTGTACGTAATTTTTCTTATTAACTTTAGTTAAAATAATTTAACTTAAATAACATGAAGTGTTTTAGAAGTTAGACAAAATGGTCAAGGTGGGAAAATAATTTCAATAATATGAAAATTTTCCTTTTTACAATATTTTTTGGTGTTCATTACTCAAAGTTCATCTATAACCGAAATTTTTGAACCTTATAAAAATTAATTTTGAGGATGTTGCCATAAGCAAATTTTGTATTTTTGGATGTCAAAATGTCCATTAATTACCGTCTGTGCTAAAAATAAAAATAATCATTTATGGCATCGAATTCAATTTTATTTCTATTAATCGACATATTGCATCGAGTTTATAATTGTATAAGCTATCCTACAATGATGAAAATGTGTGCTTTTAATCTAAAGTATTTATGTTAATTTAACAGTTTGGTGTTGATTGGCAAATTGTATGGTAGGAAAATTAAATCATACTTATATGTATGATTTAATTTGAATTTTTCAAATTATGTAATATCTAGCAGACAAGCCCAGCGATGCTCAGGCAAAAAGTAACACTAGCGAAGATTAAGATTATTACATTTCAGCCAATCTTACCCATTTTCACAGAATGCAAGAATTAAGTCCCCATTTCCAGACTAATTAAAAAATGTTTAGATGGGTCTAAACCTATGTTTGATTTAACACAAAAACACAAAAACTTGCATCTGCACCTGTAAATCTTGCACATTGCTTTCTCTTAACACTTCCATTGTTACTTAACACTTTCATTTTTAACACTTCCATTGTTAAAGCCTTAATCCTGTCACGCTTCCACTATGTACCAAATTTCGACTTTAAACTCCTAACCGTTTGGGCTCTGCACCGATTATCATCATCAACCCGTCTCAATTATATATATAGATAATTATTAATTGGTTCATATATTGTGGTTTAATTTTGCGTGCAATAATTTTTGGGGAAATTTTAAATCCTGAAAATATTCTGCATACATTTTCATAAGTCGCACTTACTAAACCTTTATTGTCCGGTACTTGTAAACTATTCGTAAAAACAAACGTTTTCGGCCTCAGTCGAGGTCTGCTTCAGGTTAAAATAATTGGATTCCATTCTTAGAATGAACATTTAGTTTTAAAATATAATCGAATTCATGCGCGTGTTACGTATTGTCATCGTTTTGTTGTTTTTCATATACGTAACGCCAAGCATAAGAAAGCGTGTTGCCGTCTTTGATGTTTATACATCTCCCCGTCCTGTCGGCTTTGTAGATTTCCAGGGCTTCAAGGGCTCTGATGTGGTCCGTATTAAAAGCTCTATTTATTAATCTGGCTTTTGATACTTCTGCATGAATATCCGGGTGTGTAGTGTGTAGGAACTCTATAACACAATAATAAATTGTTACAGCACCGAGCCAAACATCTGGCAAGATTTTGACTGGAATAACTAACTCTAAATTTCTGGATTCACCAGTTCCTAACAAGAACAATAAATTAATTGTTACTGTTAGTTTGTTAAATGATTTGTTTATAAATTGTTAAATAATTTATTGTTGGATTAAATTGTATACCATAATAATAGCTATCAGCATTTCTATTTTGTAAATTTATATTATTTTTATTAAATACTTTGTTCATAAAAGTATCAACAATTATTATTGAATTAATGTTATTTTAAAAGCATTGGAATAAAAACATTTACTTAGCATTTTACAAATGCAAATTATACTTTTAAATTAGATAACAACAAGAACTATCTAAAGTGCAAAGGCTATCACGATAAACTATCGAGTGGGAAAATAACCAACCTTTGTGCAATGCGAAACGTTTCTCCTAATCAGCAAAGAGTTTCACATCATAGAGGCTATCTGGAAAAAAATCAAATTATTATTTATTTATAATTGAAAGTAAATAGTTATTATAAAAATGACAAGAAAATTCATAAACTAGAAGAAAATATTTAATTTTGAAAATTAAAACACTATTTTGAATATGTCATTGGAAAGAATTCTAGGTCAAATGTACACAAATAATTTAAAAAATAAATTATCCAGCTATTTTTAGTGTCCATCATCAAGTTATACATTTTTCACCCGATAAACAGCTAAATGAAAATAGCTGAAATCATTTTTTAAAACTTTCTTTCTGGATATTACATTCAAATAATGTCAAACCATTAATAAAATTTTTCAGAGATTTAATTACACTACTGCTGTAATAAAATTAAACCATCTGGCATGCTAAAAGTTTACGGAATCTAAACAATCGTAATAAAGATAAATATTTTTATGCAGTTGCTCGACACTTAGACAATAAATAAAATTACTTTAATTTTCTTTTTGCCTTCGACGTTTTATCTCGTCGTCGGAAGAGTCGTCGCCCGGAAAATACGTAAAAAATTTACGAGCGGACCACGGTTCGGACGAATTTTTTGGAAAGCGCATCGAGGACAGCGTATCCATAAGCAAAGTTCCAACGTCCGAACGATAGAGGCATCCCGAATAAAAATTTGTCAAATCTGTGTTTCCGTCCGTCGTACTTACTCCGAACAGCTCTCTCCATAGAAGGAACAGAAAAAAAAGAAAATTAACAGAAAGTGCAGTGAGATATTCCCCTCAATTAGCATTCATACTTTACACAAACTATTTGAATAATGTAAATAATTCTAAAACTGAATTAAATGTAGCATTTCCATTATATTACTTTTTATTTTGGGAGGCAATTTATAAGATATGCATTATCTAAAAATATTTATTCCAGTAATTCAAAAACCGATGCCAATAAAACACTATCGATTTTGATGAAGTTCCAGCCAGTGGATCGGAAAGTTATTTTAATTCATTCACAATCATACTTCACAATTTGAAAATTACTTATATTTTTTACGGAATTTACTATTTAGTTTTAACGAGAGATAAACGACACGGGTTAAAACTGGGTAAATCACGAATTTTAAGTTTTTACTTAGCAGACGAAGAAAAATCTAACCTTTCGACAAAGTCACATATTTACTCCAACTCCACTTTTTGATTATAAATTTTTTCAAAATATACTTTATCGAAATTTGAACGTCGACCGTATCTTTATAAGAAAAGAATTAAGATATAATCCGCCCGGCACCGGTGATGCGGGAAGGGCAGAATTACTTCTCCGGAAACCGAAACCGTCTAAATATCCGGCAAAGGATGCGGAGAGACAAAACTTTCGTCGGGGACCGGGACAGACCTTCCGTTCATCTCGGTCCCTGACAGAAAGTTTTGTCTCTCCGGAATAGACGGTATTTTAAGACGACAGAAGATCCGTCATCTTAAAATACCATCTTTTCTGGTCGGTCGAAGATTAACATTTTTTCACGCGTGCACATTTACAAACACAGTTAGATTCGATTAATTAAGAGTCGGTACTAACCGGTAAGCACAAAATGTCTGTATGCATGTATATATGTAAAAGGTCACTCTAAGTTTCTTTATCCGAATTAAATTGCGTCAGTCACGATCGACGCAGAATTTCCAATAATTAGTCTAATTTTTCAATTCTATTTCCCAAATTCCAGTTTTACGAACGAAGGGCGGTTTTTAACTCGGCCGGTCACGCGTTTCGAAGCGGGACGAAGAGGAGGTCCCCCGAACGCGTACCGAGCTTCACTCCGAATTTTCGACCGCGGACCAAAAACGAGGCAAAAACTAAGGCCGTCGACAAACCGCGGGAATTCGGAACGGACGATTCTCTCTCCGACGCCGACTCGAGAGGACGTCTTCGACATCTTCGACGTTCCGTCGAGACGGACGACGTAAATTTTTAAGTTTTGCCAAACCGTGAAAGCGTCACGACAAAGCAAAGCGATTAGATAACTCTCGTCGTCTATATTTATCTAAGTTTTTTAACGAGCAAATATATAAAAATACATTAAACAAATATGAAAAGTCATCAAAAATGTAATGATAACGTAACTTCCTTCCACATCAAAAATTGTAAAATAAAACAAGGAAGAAAATTAGAAGATCAGAGTTTTTATTAACAGATCGTCATTTCCATTAATTCCGAGTACAAACGTAATTGGAACATTTCATAAATTAGCCCATTTTTTTAATTTCCAAAGCGCAGAACAAAACAGACACACATAGATGCTGGTGTGACAGATGTGCAGGGACCAGATGCGTTAACACGTGTCGTCCAGGAGCTGGAGGGGTGCATCCGCGTTTGTTTTTAATTAAACGAAACACGGATCAATTTACGACCGAGTAATAAAGCGAGTATTAACGTAGGGAGACTCGAATCGCTCCGCGGATCCGATTTTTGATGCCAATTAAATAGCATAAACTCGGAAATTTACAGAAAACGATTTTAATTTAAGCGAAATGTTTGGTAAGGCGTAGAATTACCACTACAACGGTACGTAAATGCGTTACGTCACAGCGGAAACGAAAACGCGATACGGCCGGGAGGACGATAATAGTGTCGATAAGCCTTTATCGCCCGTATTTAATGTTAACGCAACAAGAGAATTCGTCGTTTTATCGGAGAAACCGACGGTTTTCCGGGCCTTCGATTTAACGCCGCCGAAGTAAATTCGTTTCTATAAACCGGCGAAATAATTAGAGGGGAGAAGAAAGGGCGCGACGTCGACGCCCCTTTCTTCCCCGCGTGCAAATTGTGGCCCTACGACGTTCGGCAACGCTTCCGGTCCAGAAAAATCCCGTTCTAGATCGGGTTTACCGGCCTCTTCGGCCACACTCACCGTCCAACGGCGATTCCGGAACGTCTTCCTTTCCTCTCGTCCACCATTTTAAGTCGCAATGACGTCACGTCGGTTCCTCTCTATTAAATTCTTATTAAGTGGCCCGACGAAACGACGGAAAAGGAAATTAAACCACCGGAATTACGTAATTAATTAAATATTAATTAACCAGTTAATAATTTGCCAAAATACGTCGTCTTCGCGCGCTAAAATTTAATATAAATTTTTAAAATCTTTGAGAAGTTTCGATTCCGGTAACGGATGGCGGCTCCGGTAACGAAGACGAATAATCGCATTTACTTTTTTTTCTTTTTTAATATTATTTATTTCTCTTCGCTTCGTTCGCTTATTCGATTTTTTATCTTCGTCGCTCCGGGAAATTCCTCTAAGATAAATTCTAAATTTACTTGCCAAAATCAAAAATAATGATAAATTAACGCGGTGTTTATTAACGCGGAAGTAGATTTTTAAATCTAGACGAGAGATAAAACAATTCGTGCCGATAAACTTTTTATCGTACGATCTTCGCGTTTTAAAATTAATCTTCGGTTTTTGCCTTTTGTTCCTTTTAATCTTTTTACCGATTTAATTTCTGTTGGGATAAATTTAGGCGCCATCTCGTAGTCGTCGTGTCTTTTTTTGTTTTTTGCTTAATTATCTTCATTAATAGTACTCGAAATATCTAACTCGTTTTATTAAAAAAAAACTTTATATGATTTATTTGTATTATCAAATGTAATCAGCACGGCGATAAAAAAGAAATTAAAGCAGACGACAAACGCGAAAACATTTGTGGCGCCCTCTTTCGATCCGTTTAAGATGTAGAAAATTTAAAAATAAAATGGGTTTTAATTTCTCGCCCGTCTTTTTCGAATCTTCGGTAAAAAGTAATTAGTTCTGGAAGTATTTTGTGTAAAAAATATTTTTTATAATTCTTCTCTCGCGTTTTTCCATGCGAGAATCATTTTTCCTATATTCGAATATTTATGGTAACTCGGGTTTCTGCTCTGGATACGACGAAATGTGTGGCCTAAAAATTAGATCGGCGAGGTTCCTTCTTCGTCCATGCGTATTTAAATTCGGCTCTTCGCCCAAAAATACGCGCGGATACTCTTCGTTAATTTGGCGATTAATGTAGCCGAGGGGCAGCGCCAATTCCGATGGGGCAGAAACCAGCCAGTCGAAAGAGTTCAATACTTTATTTTTCGTCCCGATCGACGGATGAGCCATATGTACAAAAAATAAATAATTCGGAAGTGTCGACGGTTCAGTGCTTTCCGGCGAATTTAGAGGCGGAGAAGAAGGGTCTGATCTTGAAGTAAGTGTGGAAGAGGTTGCCTCCGAACCGGAAAGTGGCTTCGGGAACGTTTAGATTTATCTGATAACCCTTGGGACTGTTCTCGACGGCGAATGCTCTGCTCAGAGGCCCGTTAAACAGAAGGCCCTGACGTCTCTTGGGAGACAGTTCGCAGTCCTTCAGGAAGTTGGAGGTGTCGCCCGAACACTTCAGCTTGTGAGCCACCCTGAAAAAAATTGGAATTTAAATCCCGTGGAGCGTAACTTCGTCGGAAGTTTGAGTTCCTCGAGAATTAGCGACGAAATTAAGAATCGGTTCGAATTTCTAAATTTAAGAACTTTTATTTGCTGCAAAGGTTATAAACGTGGCAACGGCCGAATGCCGAAACGCGTCTTTTTTTAAATTCTTTCCCCCCTGTGGGCGCTAAGAGGGCCTCTTTTAGCCAGCCTATTACGGGTTAGGACATTAGGACAGAGCCACAATGGGGCGACCGGGTGGTGAGGGACGGCTCATTTCCCAAAAATTTCTGGAGATTTTTCGATCCCGGAGCGGTGGGCTGGCACTCGGACCGCTCGGCAGTCCGCCCGTTATTAGAGACGTAAAATTCAATAACGGCCAGTGTCCGATAAAGCGATATAATTATAACGAAAAGAGGAAGATAGAAAAATAAAATGACGGTGGTTTTACCATAAAATCCTTCCGAATGTAAACTAAAATTTGTATAACTGGTGGTTAGAATTTGTATTCCGTAAGTCAGGCCGGGTTTAAATTCGCGACCGAGTATGTCGAAGATATTTCGAATACAAGTTTAAATTTCAGGTGACGAAATTTTAGAGTATCTTTCGAAGTATCTTACCAAGCATCGAATCCGTGGCGTCGATACATTTCCGAAACACACTTAATGTCGTCGGCGATGTCGTCGTTCTTCAGCTCTGTAATGACCGGAAGCATCAGTCTCGGAGCGCAAAGGGAAGAGGAAGACCAAGGTAAAAATACTTACTGTCGCAAGATAAATTGCAGACGTTTTGAGAGTTTTTAGAGTTTCCGTTGCACCAATATTTGTCGTTAATCTGAAAAGACACGGAAACGTTAGCGTGGCACCCGGCGGGTGTTTTCTCGCCCGGACGGCTCCAGTTTCCTCCTTTGTTTTCGTCACGAAAGACGGAACAACGATGCAATTAATAACCGCAACTCACCTGGAATAGGCCGTAGTCCGTGCTGCCGTCCCAATTTCCTTTGTGAATGGCCCCCGTGTCGAACGAACTCTCCCAGTAGGCGATGCAAAGCCCTGAAACATCAAATTTCGGTAATGGAGGAATCGCACTTTTTCGAATCCTCTTCGACTTTAACCGAATCGTTAACGCCAACGGACGGACCCGTTGTATTTTTCATTTTTTTTTGTGTGTGTCGGGAATCGCCTTTCCAAACAACGAAGCGTACTTACATTTGGACAAATCCTCTTTGGGAAACTTGAACCTCTCGTGAAGATCTCTGGCCAATTCGCATCTCTCGTACACTTTGCAGTCCACTCCGGCCAAGAAAAAGCAGGTCAAAGCCAGAATCCATCCCGAAATCATGACGATTCCTAACAAAAATAAGGCAAAAAAGTTAATTGGGAGGGACGGTCATCGAGCGATCCGCGGCACTTTCGACGGCGTACCCATCCGAGTTACTCCAAAAATTGCCGTGTCCCGTTCGATTCGAGCGAACAAAACGATTCCCTTCGGTCCAATGTTTACTTCTTTATATAAAGAGTCAGCCGTTACCCGACGCGCTCGAGGAAGTGACCTTACCCCGCTAAAAGACAGCCAATAGGAGAGTTCGTTTCACCCGGACTGGTACTCGTTCTCCAGAATCGAGGTTAGTGAGCTGGGATCAATATCCTGTAATCATTCGCCTCGCCTAGATAACGAGGGTTCAATTAAGGTAATCGAGTGTGAACGAGGGTGTGGGGAGGTGCCGGAGATGACATCGTCGCGAGCCCTGGTGTCTTCCGAGACGTCGAACAGAGTCGTGTCACCCGAGAAAATGAGAAGACTTTTCGGACCGGCGCCGCCGAATTACGCCATTCGGAAAACGGTCGAAGCCGATTTTAGAAATATAAATTCGAAAAAGAAATTTGTGAAAATTGGTTTTAAGGAAAGCGAAGTTCGTGTTTATCGTAGCGAGTTTTTCCCGGGTGTAGAGGAGAAAAAAAATACGGGAGAGCGTTTTTTTCTACCAGAGCACGCAGGGGGAAAACGCGCGCGGAATAAAAGAAAATTAATAAAACTTTTCCGACGACAATCTTCCCTTTATCGAAAGGTAAGTAAACGAGAATTTTGCCTATTTCCAGAACTCTGGACGAACGACCTAGGACAATCGCTAGAGTCGCGAGCGACAAAACTAGGCGACAACCCGCGTCGCTCTCGTTAACTAAATAACTCGCGTAACTTAGATAGAAATCGCCAATCGACGCGTAAATATATGTATTATTAGACCCGACGAAGATTTTTGGAGCATTAAACGCGGCTTATCCACACAACTGAAAAAAATGGAAAGTGGAATTTTATGACGGAATACGAGGAATTTCCGAATGCATATTATATCTATGTTTGACACTATTTACATACAAGTCGTCGGTCATAGCGGGTCAAAGGTCCTACTTAGTCCCGCTCTGTCAAGCGGAATTAAGTAGACCTTTAAGTCTAATATCTCGTTTACCTCATTTTTTGTGGTTCTGGCCAAAGATTCGCCGACTAAAGGCTGCAGAACGTCTATTTTGAATAGGAAATTCTTTAGAATTCGCTTTCTTTCGCACGCTTCTAATAATAATTTATTTTGAGTACCGTTTCCAATAACGAACGAACGCTCGTACTCGACGTCGAATGTTCTAAAAAAATTATCCAAGTTCTCATTTAAAATGTATAAAAGTCATTCGTTTCAAACGTTACAAACAATAGAAAAGTTATATTTAATATTTTCCTCTTCTCCATTTAGAAATGACAAAACGGCAAAAAAAAAAAAAGAATTTAAGACGTATTTACTGACAACACTCGTCACGTGGAACGATTTGGATCGAAAAAAAATGATATTAAAATAAGACAATCGGTGGTTTTATTTATATTATTAAATTTCTATTAATGTCTTTAAATAATCGTATCCTTGTTTTCTTGTTTTGAAGAAGGAAAACGAAGATCCTTTCGCGTTTCTCCTCGTCGTTTTCGGCTTTTACCGCCTAAAAATGGCAGATAGGAATGACGGATTCGTTGGAAAAGAAACGAGCGGCGTTATAAAGGGGGAGCCGTAACCGATTATCTTCGATTCTCGAATAGATGCGATGCATTTTGGAAGCTAAATTTTGTAAGAAATGATTTATCTCTGGGAACTGACGACCGGACGCAGTTGTAGGTCGAAATAGCTGCGAGAAAGTAATAAAAGGGAAAGCTTCCGGCGATCTTCGCTAATTCCCACCCTTAATAGAGGAAAGAGTTCGAATTTCGTACCTTTGTGACAAGCACGAGGCACCCGGCGATTAACTTTTTCTTTATTGGGATTTAATATCGATCTGAGAACTAAAAATAGACTCCAAATTCACTTTCTACCAAAGCGACTCGAGCGAGACTCGTTCTTTTCCTATTATTTGACTGATAAGGAAAGTCGCGAGCGGTGATTCACCACCAAAAAACGACAACAAACGTAGAAATTCCGTTTTTTTCACTCCGCACCCATTGTAAGGATCTCGGCCGTAACCAGTCTCGCCGACGAAAGAAAATACGAAAGGATCTCTCCTCCTCCTCGCCTCTTCCAAAAATCCACTTTAGCCATTTAAGAAAATTTATAAAGCTACTTTTATCGCCGCGTTTCGTCAGCCGGGGTGAAACTACGGTGTGGCGAAGAGTGTAAATTACGAGTCTGCTTTGATCTATTTTAAAGCGACTCGCCACTCCGCAGTCGGTGTCGAAAGAACCGTTCCTTAATTGTTTAAACCGAGTGAAGTTTATCCAACCCAATATTACGCACGAAGTGTCAAAACAACCATAGCCTGGCGTTTCCGCGCTTCTCTACGCGTAAGGTTATCGGGTTCTAACCGAGTAGACGTCGCGTGAAGAAGCGTCGTTGACGTATTTCGTTCTCTATTTATGTAATAACAATTTCCTTCGTTTATCGAGCTGGTAAAGGAAAATATTCCGTTTTGATACAAAAATCCGGAAATTTGCGGGTGAACAAACTCGATCGTTTCCAAGACATCCGCGCGGAATCATTCTTTCCAATGCGATTTCGTCGCGCCGTGGCGGAAAGAAGTTTCGGTAACCGAGCGTAACGTTATTAATTATTCGTTAAAATTCACCATAATTACGTTGCGATAACTTTGGAAGAGAAACCGATTTGATCGTTTAACCATCGAGTCGTCGTGGCTGCATCGAGGCGGCGCGATTTCTCGCGGCGCTCGAGTTTAATTCATTCGGTGTTTACGTATCTTAATGAAAATAGAAATAAAAAATTTAGTCTCGATTTTAAAAATCGAAATTAAACAAAATTACGTAATCGAACGGAGCCGGTTTGCTCTATAAAACTATTTTTTGCCACGCGAAAGACGCGACGGCCAGCGACGAGGCTAACGCACTCGGAGCGCCATTTTCCATGGCGGCCGCCGCGTCGGTAACTTTCGGGCAATTTCTCTAACGCTTTTAATTTATTCGTGCCACACGGGGCGAGAACGAACCCGATAAAACAGAGACGTAATTATTTTGATGAAAAATAAATATTTTGCGGTTTATAAACGGCAACACTCCGTTCTAGACCGATGTTTATCTTTTCGCAATTCCGTTATCTTTCGAGGAAAGCGATTTTTCTGATGAGTAAGTCGTGCGTGTCACGGAGCCACGCCATCTTGGCTGGAAAAGAGTGGACTAATTTTTCTAATCCTAATACTCTAACGACGCGATTATCCAACGAAAATCGCTTTTAATCGCGCGCATTTTAGATCATTTGCATATATTAGAAAGCGCAGTTTTCCAAATTAGCAGAAATTTAAAAGAAATAAGCGTATAAAGTCACGAAATCGTTTTAGGATAACTTCGTTTGGCCCATTAGGGTATTCCAATTTTCTACGGAACATTTCCCGTTTCTAGAGGGAAAGTGCGTACGCCCGACTGTAAGTAATCGAATTATGTCGCCGAAAAGCCTAAAAAACAGCCAATTTTGAAGATTTAATTGCAGAAATTATCCCTTTTTTCCATAGAAACGTAGAATCTATCGAGTAGAAAGATAAAAAAAATTCGTTACGAGTTCTATTGTAAAGATATTTTTAAAACTGAAATCCGGTAATTTTTTGTGTAAGATCCATTTATATTATTTATTGTTCCGACGTAAGCGATTGTCACAGAAATAATTAGAGGTTCGCAGTCATCTTTCTCGTCCTTTTTATAGACTTCTACAACAATAAATCTGTCTTCTTTTAATTATTGTAAGTAAATTCTCTGTCGGAGCGAAGGATTTAGCTATCCACTATAATTCTTATAAATTTTGCAGTTAAATCTTTCACCTTTTAACTCGGCTTGTCAACCGAGAGGTGGTCTTTAAATGTCTTAATTAAGAGACTAGAAAGAAAGGTTAGCAACGTCGACCTAGAGTCGCGCGTGGCATTTCCTAAATTTCTTCGTACTATCGAGACGAGAACTGATCGTTTTTTGCCTGTTTTCCGCTTCTGCATTCCCGTAGTGTTTTACAATTATTAAAAATCTACAAACTAAACTTAGTCACGAACGCCGCGTATCGTTTTTGACGGATTTTAAAAAGAATCTATGGCGGAAGGCTCGGAAACTTCTCGGATTTACACATTTTATTATCCTTCTTTATTTTCCTGTAAGTAAGAACCAGACATTTCCTTCCGAAAACCTGGTTTTTAATCAATAATTTCATTTCTGCTCCCTTCCACCATTAAGTTTGCGTCCGTCATCGACACTCTTCGACCGATTCGTTATTAAAATCTGCAAATTAATAGGCCTATTATGTTTCCAGTCTATCTAGTAGAACGCAGTAATTGAATTTTCCTCGGGTGCCGCATCTCCGGGCTTTGTCGTTCCTTAAATGTCTTAATAAGCCTCTCCTTATCTCTTTAAGGTACAATTATTCAATTACATAATACGCCACTCGTTAACGAAAAGAAATACATTTGTTCGAATAATAACCGAAAAGCGAAAATATCTGCCCGATCGCTTCGATAGTCCGATACGACCAACACGTTTTTCGTTTATTCTTTAATTATTTTCTGCCCCTTTATAATTCTTTTGCCATGTTGTCACTCCGCTCGTCACTTGGACGGTTTCTAAAGTAGCGCTTTTCCACTTAACTGGTATAGTTCGGTCTTTCTCTCTCTCTCAGTGTGTGTCTATGGTATCTGATGTCCCGTAATTCATTTAAGCTTTAAATAAATTAGTGAATTTCGGGGATTCTTGCCACGTGCCTAGAAGTTTGTCGGAATGTGGTAAAAGCCACGTTAAAATTACTGTAGAGGAACAAAAATAATTCGTTTGTATCTTATTTGCTGCCTATTAAAGAATACGACATACAAATTTATATTATTTTTATAATTTTCCTACGTGAATTTCAGCCATACATAATTGTATAAAGTAACGCAAATGACTGATTATTGTTGGACATTTGGCACTCGTCCATAAACAAGTATCTCTCGTCTAAAAAATCGTTCGTAATCTTATTGTTTTAATACAGTCGACCCCCCTATAATACTGTTGATAATTCCGTTTTATATGAATTCCATGTTGTACGA